AGCATTTGAAAGCATGTGTAACAAGGGCTACGGGAAGAGAGAGAATGCACCTTGGCAATCTGAGGCTGTTTTAGTCTTTGGTAAAAGACTCAAATGTAATAGATGATGACTTGATTATTTCACTGACAGTGAGGAGCATGTACAAAAAGCATTGGACATCTGTACGAGGCAGGAGAGCGAGCAGATAAGTACTGGCTGTTGGGGCATTAAGGGAACAGGAAAACATTTCACACTGCACCAAGGACTGGCTGTGGGATTGCTTAAATATATTTTTCTATAAGCATCATCTTAAAGGAAAATGTTGCTATGAGTGGAGATACTTCAGGTTGTCTTGAACATCTTTGGAATACACTTAGCAATATTTGAATTTCCCACTTTTTATTGAAACGTTGTCCTTATTGAGAAGTGGACACGCTCATCTTGCAGACAGCTGAGCTTTTATCTCAAGTCAGTGACAAGGAACCTTTTGGAAGACAGATGGTATGAATGGGAGGGGAAAAGCATTTGAAATGCTTATGAATAGAAAAAGTCTGTTGGAACACTTTGGAAAAGTCTGAGAAAATCATTCTGAGTTGTGTTAGGCTTGATAGCTCAGATTCACACCAGATTCCTTGCATGTGGCACTGGGCAAGCCCTTCTCTTGGCAGAAGTGTGAGTAGCATTCCTCTGGTCACATCTTTTTAAGTTCTTCTCTTTGAATTGCAAACTTGAAGGAGTGTAGTAGTGTTGTCTAGGTAGATTATCCATGCACCATGCTGCACTTCTGCTTGCAACTGAGTTTCTTAGCTTGAAAGTATTCATCATGTGCATCTTGGTGTTGTGTAAAAATAGAGAGTGTTTAAGACAGTCTGAAGTTACTGAAGAAAATAAAGTATTCTTGAAATTAGGGGAATGAATTTACTGTAAGTACAAAGAAGTTACTCCTTTTGTCTAATTCATTAATTGGAGACCATTACCACCTGTAACCTTATGACTTTGAACATTAAAATAATTAGTAAGGCTGTTACTGGGAAAGCAGCTCAGTCGAGTAGCTGTAGTGCAAACAAATGAGTTCTAAGCTCAGACTGCGCAGTGGCAGCTGGGAAGGAAACAAAATTCAGAAGGCTGTAATCCCTTAGAATGAGAGGATCAGAAGTCTCAATGAATGCCTCTTTTCCCCCCTCTATCCTTGAGAAAGTGGTTCAGTTGGTCATCGTCCAGCCACAAAAGGATAATGTGAGGAAATAAAAACAAATTGAGAACATTAAGCCACTGCTGTCCTAGCACATTGCTTTGCCTGTTAACCTGATTATTCTGCCTTCCCATGTGATAGATGGAGATGTCCAAGCTTCTGTTCTGTATACATAGCTTGTTTGGTTTGATGAGCTGTCAGATTTAGATTTAAACTCTACCATGGCTATCAACCCGTGCTACCTCAGATTCTTCTTACTTGAACTGTCAGCCATGCTCATTCATTAAATTTTGGAGGACTAGTTTATAGTGACAGGTGGCCATTACTTACAGCAGTGTTTAGTCGAGCTTCTTTGCTGCACTATAAATGTTCATTTTGCAAAATCGCAACGCAGGTTTGGCCAAGAGCTCTCACCTGTGCTGCTGCTTGAAGAGCCATTTGCACCTTATGGTTTGGAGCCCTAATGTTATTTTAATTGTTAATTGTTTAATGTTATTTAATGATATATATATCATGTTAATTTGTTCAATCACCCCAGTGCAAATGCAGTTGAAATCACCGAGTGATTTCTTTGGAAAAAGGCAGTTTGTGTTTTCTAACTCTGATTCTATGTAGCTTTTTCCTTAGAAATACCCACTCTGTATAATCAATGGATATTAAGATGTTACAATCACAAAATAAACAAGAGAGTGAAGTAGATTATGATAACAAAAGAGAATAAATGGAAGGTTTACCCTTATGTTGGGCTCACCACAAAACACCAGAAGGAGGGATTTCCAGACAAGATCCATCCCCACTGGTAGCCAGCTCTTCAATAGGCCTAGGAGCCTGGCTCCAGCCCTTCCGGCAGCACAGCTGAATTGCCTTCACCTGTGCTCCTCTGGCTGGCTCATGGCTCGCCTCAGGTGGTCAATCAGAGGTTCAGGCCGTGACTCAGCAGTTCCCATACACCACTGCTTTTATTTCCTTCCTAATTTGTTTTTGCATGATTGGAGGGCTATTAATAATTTAAGATGCAAATACTAAGCATTCAAAATTGAAATTCAGTCTTTTAACTTTTGCATAGTTATAACCATTTAAAAGATTGCACGTGTTTGTTTTGTTAAGATGCTTGCTTAACAGCTTCACACCAACTACACCACTGTTTCCTCAGTGAGAACAGTTGCCTTTGTACTCTGCTGACCAAGGGGACTGCCTGGTTTTCTTTCATGTGCCCCTGCCTTGCACCACATCAGTGTTTCAGGACCTTTTGGTAGGCTGGTTTGATTTGCTAATACAGTGGAACATGATCCCTCAGATTATTATCCTGTGGGGTTAGCAAGCTGAAGGATCTCAGGAACATGGGGTGGATGTGTCTGGGGGTGAAGAATGGCACATTGCTCTTTCAGCACCAATAAATAAGGATATGTAATATGACTCCAAATATGCTGCATTTTAAATCAGTACAAGTTATTGCTTCTGAAGAGTTTCTTTCTCAAAAAATCTTTATTCATTTTTGTGACCAGGTATCTTTGTGCTGCTGCGAGGTTCTCCCAGGTTAGTGTTTACATGGTGGAACATCTATCAGGTGGAGCTTCTGGGGAGAAGTTAAAGCTGTGCTTAAATAGGAGAGCATTCAGAATCAGGAGTGCTTAGGCTTCCTGGTGTTACAGCTAGAGAAGAACAGAGGTGAGAGTTCCTTGGCAAGGTCTGTGAGCTTAGCACTCACATAGATCATCTTTATGCTGTGGGATGTTGTGATTTGTCTTGTGGTAGTGTAGCCCTTTAAAAAACAAAACACAACAACAAACACTCATTTGTTATGTAGATGTAGGAATAATCTGCTTGAAGTACTGTGAAAATGCATCTGAGCATTTACAGTCCCAGATTTAGATGGATTTCTAGTGGATATGTAGTAAAAATAGTGTGTAGGAATAATAGCATTAGGAAGGTGAGAAGAAGCAGCACAGTTTAAGTTACAAAAGTGAACTTCCTAGTTGCGTGTTCTGCATCAGCTGAGCAGTTCCTGGCCCTACTTCTGCTTAGGGAAGAAATTGTCTCATACTCTTGTTGTGTTGTCTTAAAAGAAGCATAAAGAAAAGGTTGAAGCCTTGACAGTTCTGACAAAGTCCGGTGCCATTGTGTGTCACCAGATAAGTGATACTGCATATTCTGTGGCAGTCAGCAAAGCATGGCAGCCACTATTTATATGTCAGTTTTAAAAGAGAGGAAGCGTTGCCCAGAGGGGAGAGAATATCAGAATTTGACAGCCCAGTAGACATCAGAGGTTAAATGTCATCTTTTGAATAGGTTTAACTTACATATTCATTTTATTTATTGAGGTCTGAATTTCAGGTTCATAATACTGATTTTGTTTCTTTCTGGTACTTAAAAACATTGTATCTAAGAACAAAAAAAAGTTTCCTGAGCAGAAAGCAGATGATGGTAAAGATGAGGTGGTTGTTTGCAATATCTGACCTGCACTATATAAAATGTGAGTGCGTATGCAGCCAATGACGGTAGAAAAGAAAATCATTTAACCAAAGTGTTATGTTCCTGCTCAATTAAGTATTTTTCAGATCTTTTAGGCTTGCTGTTCTTTGGAAGTTGTTGTTTCAACTTAAAATTTCTGTATATCCCCCTGAACAACATACACAGTGCATGGGAAGTGACTGTAGGTACTGGCATTGTTCTTCTATTTCTCTCTACACTTCCCTGCCATGTGTTGTTTGTCCTTTGAGAGTATTTGTATGTTGTTTTTTTGTTTGTTTGTTTTTAAACTTCCTGAGCACACTTAGTCTCTTTTGTATCACTTCAGATAGAATGGAGTAATGCAGAGGGATGCATCCTTAGTTGTTTCAGAGATCTTGGAAGAACTGAAACTGTGGGCCTTTACACAATGTTTCCGGCTTGTATCATATGCAGTGCAGTGTGCTTTACTAAGTAAATGTCTTATTTTCCTTTGGTTGAACTCAGAGCTGGCGGCTGTGACTGAGAAGAGAGATTCTGGGTCAGTGCTGACAACTCTGTGTGCTTTGGCAGCCAAACATGCAACAGTGGGCCTGACAGTGTAGGATGGGAGCTGAGAATAAGGCTGAGGAGCTTGACATGACTAGGTCTTGAGTGTAAAAGCTCCAAGAAGCATTCTGAAACCTGGATGTACCTGTGCCTGTCTTTTAAGTGCCATCAGTTCTGGAAACACAGGTTAAAGAAAGAAGCTGAAGACCTCGCAGCTTCAGCATGCAGGAACTTGAGGCTGCAGCCATTTTCATGTGTGAGCCAGTGGCTCTGGATTTTGGGGGAATGTGATGGGGTGTTGCCAGGCTTGCATGCTCTTACAGCATCTCATGTTGCAGATGCTGAGGACCATTGGTCTGACACAGCAGTGTATCCTTAACAGGGCAATGTCATAGATGCTTGCCTACTTTATCAAAGGAAATTTAATCCTTTGAATGTTTTAGTGGTAATGTAATGATTTATATTATTTATGTTGTGAACATAATTTATGTGAAATTTTTTTTATATTATGAAATTCATTAATTGTTTTGAAGAACATAGTCAAATAAACTTAAGATTCCTTCGTAGTACATTTGATCACATGCTTTCTCAGTTGCAGCTTTTGAGAGAAAGTTGTTCCTGTACTTCAAGCTAAAGGGCTATTGGTCGGTAAAATTCAGTGAGATACTGTGATTAAAAAGTTGTAAGCATTTGATTTGCATTAGGCTAATAGGGTCTTTTTCATCTCTTTTGAAAGCTCTGTTTTCAAAACCTTCTTTGTACATTTTGTCATTGTTGAGTTTAAAAGCTTTTTAAAATTGTTGTTTATTTACTGATTTCCCTTTTTAACTAGGTTCTTGAAGATGCAGAGGCCCAGCATTTATTCCAGTCAATTCTTCCTGATATGGTCAAGCTGGCACTCTGTCTTCCTACCATCTGCACACAGGTAAGCAAACACTAAGCTAAGTGCTCTCAAGCAAACCAGTTTTTTAGCTGCTGGGAGGATGTTTGTTATGATGTTAGCAACTTTCTAAACACAGTCAAACACAGGACTCACTAGGCCCTGCAGTAATGCCTATCATGAAGAGAAGTATTTGTAGTGTTAAGCAGTATAAACGTTTAAGAATTTTGTCAGACTTTTTTTTTGTCATATGTAAAACTAGACTTATAGAACTTACTGGAGAGAGCTTTTAAGGTTTCTATCCTCCCCTCTGTGTGACTTCAGACATCGTGATATAGCTTGTTAATGAAATAGTCAGAAGACAGAATGAGATACACAGTGAATGTAATAATTATAAGAATGAAAGAAATTGTCTTGTGGAGTCAACAGAGCTGTGTATTCAACAGTGTAAATTAGCAACTGCTTCTGTATTCACAACTAAAGGGATTAAGTCATGTCTGTTTAGCTTCCTGGAGCTAAGCTAATGGTGATGGCTGAAAATGTTGGAAGAGGCAGTCAAAATGGTTCTCTATTTGCTATCGAGGGGATTAATTACAACTGTTACTGAACTTCTTGGTAAAGAGACATTTTTGTCCTTATCACGTAAGCATATCGTTTTTAAATAGAATGAGTGGAATATGATGAGGGAAAATCTCATATCAAGAGACAAAGCCTAGTAACAGGAAAGGTGGCAATATTTAAGTTTGGTTTCCACTCCTTTGTTTCTCTCTAAGTTGGAGAAACTCTGTCCAGAGTCAAAACACCAAATAAAAGACTGAAATTAGGCTGTGCTTTTCTGATTATAAAAGCTTTTTTTTTTTTTTTTTTTCCCTCTGATTATAAAAGATCTATTAATAATCTACTTTCTGCAAAGATTATCAGTCTGTTGTTTTGATTCAGGGAGGCCGGGAATAAAAAAATGGGGCCACTGGGTGACAATTGTGGAGACCTCCACCTTCCTTTGTAAATTATGAAGCATGGTTTTTGTAGCTGAAAACTCCTTAGTAGGTTCTTAGCTATTCAGCTATCAAAGCTGATTTTTTTTTTTTACTTCAGTTTTTAAGACTGCCCAGAAACTTCAAATACTGCATGTTTTTCCCCTCAGTTTCCACTGATTTTGTTTGATTAGTTACGTTTTCTTGGTCTCTTTTTTATTATTGATTAGAAATCTGCAGTTTGTCAGCAAGCCTTTTCCCAATTGTCTTGAATAAACTGTTCTTGACTTTAATGGTTCTGCTGATTAAAGGGTTCACCACTGGCTTAAATTAGTCTTGCTCTAATTTAACAAATGTAATTTTGTGCTCCTGTTTTTTCTTTTAAAATGGGTAAGCTAATTATTTTTCTCTCTCCTTCCCTCCCTTTTCTCCTGGCCCTCCCTCCCCCTCACCTCTTTTGTTCCCACTTGGTAGCCAATACCTCTACTGAAACAAAAGATGAATCACTCCATCACAATGTCACAGGAACAGATTGCTAGTTTTTTGGCCAATGCTTTCTTCTGTACTTTTCCACGTCGCAATGCGAAGATGAAGTCTGAGTATTCCAGTTATCCAGACATTAACTTCAACAGGTATGGCACTTAGGAAGAAATGGAGCTGATAATCCTGTTGGAAATAATCCAAGTAATTTTTGTCAGGACGGTATCTCTGATAAAAGCAGAATTTATTCGCGATTGCAATGGCGGGCGTCCTGCAAGTAGGAGCGCGCCTATGGACACAACATGACAGCCTTTATACCCTGTTTTCTCCCCCTTGCCTCCCCCCTCCCCTGTTTCCCCAATGGCTGGGTACTCCAGGTTCACAATCTTAGCAGAAGGTTTTACATTTGCTATTTACTTGTTAATTTATTTGTTATCTGGTGCCAGTCAGTAGTCATCCTGTTGTTTCCAAGATGTCTCGGTGCTCTCCTTGTCCTATTGATATGGTGATTTTCTTTAAAGTCATCATCGTTAAACAAAGAGCAGTAGGGGGATGATGTCAGGCCTTCCCAATGTCTCTTCAGGTGCTTCCTCGGGCAGGCCATGACTTGTTCTTTGGTTTGCTCTCGGGCAGGATATTCTTGCAGTGTATGTGACAAAATATACATATATACACTTATATACAGAGTACGCATCCCTGGGAAGGTTCGTCTATACGATAAGTGATGTAAACTTATCAGAGATCTTCCCCAAGTTAAGTAGAGGGACTCCCAGAAAGAACTATGATAGCGGAGATCATAAAATAAAAATAATATTATACAATTCTAATGCAGAAACAACACTTGATTCTCACAATCCTTCAATGAAAATATTATTGTTGTCATTCAGGGGAGAAACCTATTTCTTCTTCCATGTTTTTAGAAGGTTGTTGTCACTGTTTTCAAGAGTTTACATTTCTTTTTTTTTTTTTTTTTTTAAACAGGGATCAGAAATCCATGTAACTGTAAGAAAGATTCCTGTGCACAGGAAGATGTTTTATATTCCAAGTTTTCCTTTTGTTTCTGTGTGCGCACATGCACAAATACTCCTACATGGACATAATTAAGCTAATGCAATTCTCTTCTTCCTCGTAGCCGTTTGTCTACAAATGACATACTTCAGTTGAGCTTTGTATATTTTATATGTATTTAAAGGAAAACTCAGCGTTCCCCCAGCCACGTTCCTGTTGTCATCTTGTGTCAGCAGTGATAATCTGCAAATTGAGTCAGATTACAGAATTAATTACAGATTACAGAGATTAACAGAACTTCACTCCTCATCAACCTAGTAAAATTTTAAGACCATGATATGAATTTGACTGATGATATTTTGATTTCTAAACAAATGCATATTCTTTTCTTTCCCTCAACACTAGCATGCATACAGATTTGACTAAAGCTTTTCTAGCGTCTTTTATTTCTTAAATGTTCTTATTTCAGTTATGGAAGGAAATAGAGGATGGGGGCATTTCCTGCTGCAGCGTACGAAGTCCACACAGACTTCTGATTAGTAATACAAATGGGTCAACCTTGCATTTAAACATTTATTATCTGTTTTCTTATTCCCTTGTAGTTTATACATGTAGTTTATATGCTCTGAACACTGAGATGAAATATGAAGGTTGTGTTACCTGTGATCCAGACTCTTGGACACTTAGTTGTGTCATAAGAGCCACAACAAGTTTGAACTTCCCCAAATAAAGCAAGTCAGATGTGCTGATGCAATAGTAATGGTTTTGGTGCTTGCTGTCATGAAGGGCTAGCATGAGCTTATCTACACTGTGTATTCTGAAGAGAGACCAGAAAACTGTACTTGGCACAGGTCTGCTGACCAGATTTTTGTTCCAACGGGGCAGTGGCATACCGAAGAGAAGTTCTGGTGCCTCATAGAGCTCAGCGTGTTCATAGTAACAACTAACTGGGGAGTAACCATCCGTTCATTAGGTAGGCTTATGTCCAGTGCAGTAGAAGTGTGCAGTAAGGGTCTGGACAGGGTTCCATTTAACTGCTCCATCTACATACTTTCGGATGATTTTTTTTTAAGGACTTATAAGGTATCAAGTTTTTATTGTGACTTCAGCATATTATGTATCAATTAGTTAAATTATCAGCTACCCAGTGAAATGCTGCAGAGTTGCTGGAATGCATTCACAGTCAATGAACATTGCACAGGTGCATAAATTCACAGTAGTACAGTGTAGCAGTAGTGGTTAACTCAGAACATGATAATTTGAACTACTTTAAAATAAAATAGTCTTGACTGTGTATTAGGGAAATAAATTACTGCCATATATTTTAAAAATAACCTGTAAAAGCACTTAAACTTTCAGAATTTGTGCCTTATTCTGGTCAGTCCTTGGTTTTCTCTTTCTTTGCCTCTAAGTGCCGTGGCTCACAGTGAATTCCAGTATTATTATTTTGAAGGGATAATACAACAGTCTTCAGATCTTCCTTTTACATTATATATGATGTAATACTCAGCTTTAGGCCATGTAAGGTAGAAAGACACTTTTGTCTAAGTGCAAGAATGCTTACCAAACTGGAAGAAAGAAGGAGAGATGATGTTCTACCTTTCCTAAGGGTTAAAAATGTTCTTCAAGAGTTTGCCAATTTATGCATTTTTATAGAAGAACAATTTCCTTCTTAATACTTTATATTTAATCATTTGTTGGACCCCTTTGTTCATTATCAACTCAAAGTGCAGGTTAGTGAAGTAGGAAAGGTGTCTGGCAGTAGCTAAAAATAACAGCATGTGAGAGGGAAACTGATGGGGTAACAGCTGAAGCCTGTCTAGTGGTGAAGAGAACACTACAAGAAGTTACACTGTTTTTCATCATGTTACTGTCTGTGACTAGACTTAGATGAACTCTAAAATGATGGGAAGAGAATGGATGGTACCTCACTTGTTTTTTCCTCTTTCTGTTAGTCTTGTATTTTCTCACCCCAGAAAGTTAGTTCTGTAAGAGCAAGCAAGAACAACAAAATGCCACTTTTTTAGCTATTTCAGATTTGTGAAGATGACAAGGTTTGTTTCACTGCAGCATGTATTTTTTCAGGTTTTACAGAGAAGCCTGTCGTGAAGCTGGGTGCATTCAAAAGGCAGCAAGCAATAGCTGGAATTAAAGTGCTTATGACATTTTTTCTCTTGATACTAATGTTTTGATTTAAAGGCTTTGGGAACTATTGCTCTGCCCTGTTTAGGAATGGGCGTAACAGATTGTTCTACACAGTAGTTCTTCTCCCCCACAATCTTATTGTCTGCAGTTTTTTTCCAGACTTGGTTCTTTCCTCTGCATAATTTGTCTGCTGCATGACCGTGAATGGATTACTGTGTTCCTTGGGCACAGGAAAAAAAAATCTGCCGTGGTTCCATAATGAAGCAAAATTACTGAGTGCATATGAGAGAACTTATTTTTAATGAATGTTCCATAATTTCACTGTGTATGCGCTTTCTGCATTAATACAAAAAGCTTTCACCCCTTCCCTCTGCTCTTGAGACTGAAAAAATTGAATTTTGTGTCCTGGGTTAGAAATGCAACTGTTTAGCCTGTTTCTTTCTTGTGCTTTTCAGCTTTATGCAGCAATCATTTATCATTCACTTAATACAGACTTAAACATCAGTACCTGTTTGTACACTTCAGTTATGTTTTCTGTATTCTTTTTTCAAGTACAGTCATGTCCCCCCCCTTTTCAGTCTTTCCTTCTGTAGGTTTTTGTGTTATAAAGTAACTTACTGTGATTACCACCCAACACAATCGAGATGCAAATCTGACATAACAGCAAATGCTCAACACAGAATACTGAGAATATACTTTTTTTCTCTCTGTACAGCTTTTTCTGATGCGCCAGTGCTTGGCACTGTTACTGTAGCATGATGGCATGCTGTTTGAATGCACTAATAACTGCATCTATCGGAAGGAAGGCCATTGTAACTGTTAGTATTAACATAAATCATCTCTGCTTCATCTCTTCTGTCCCTCTTGCCAATTGAGGGGGGGACAGAGGGAACATTCCTCATTTGACACTGCAGCACTTAGTTTAATAGCATGTTGTGACACCGAGTGCCTGTTTTGATTGTTCGTTGTGCTGCGGAGGCCAAGTCACTCATACAATGAAATACTCTGTAATTTAATTAAATTCTTCCCTTTAGGACTTGGCAAGGATTGGCCTCTTGCAGTTCTTAAGTTATTAATAACATAATCCATTAAAAATGTAGTTAATAAAATGGAATTCACAGTTTAGCTTTGAGAGCCAGGATATTTATGAATTTTAGTAAATGGGATGTCTGTTCAGTGGCCAAATATTATTAGAGGATACAAAATAGCATGAGGCATTGCTTCCCTTTATACCAAACATAAAGCCAAATTTTGAAAGTTCAATCTTTATCTCAAAAACGTTTATGTAATATATTAACGTGGAAATGGATTAGGCAGCTTTGTGCAAAAATATTCCATTACAACAGAAAGAATTGCATTTGTCCTCTTAACATTCTTACTGATGCTTTTTGTAGAAGTTGCATATTGCTTGAATGTGAAGGATTACTTGCATCAGCTCTTCTGAGGTGATCTCTACAGTTGTGATGATGGTTGCATTTGAATGCAGTTTCTTATGGTAATACTGAGAATGCATCTTTACTATGAGTAGTTTGTGGTGGTTTAGTGTATTGTTTTCATAAAAAGGGAGGAATGCTTATTGTCCCTCCCCTCTTGAAATATATCAAAGCTAAGAGAAAACTGTGCTCTTTTTACATTTATTTGTAAGAAAATACTGAAACAAATGCATCAGAGTGTCAGATGAGACTTTCATGCCCTTGTTTTCTGAGTTATCAGACCTGTGTCTTACTGCCACAGCATCTTGTAATTTAGAAAGCTATGAAGTCTGATTGCGTGTAAAAGAAATGTATAAAGGAAAAAAAAAAAACAAGAACCAAACAGCGATAATCTGTTGCAGTCTTACCTCAATTCTCTGGGTGACCAAAAAGAGAACTGGTTTGTCAAAGACCCCTTCTGCTTTTGCTGTACCTTTGATCTGTTCTTAGTTGTAGCATCAAGTTACAGTAAGTTCACTGTTCTTTTTTGAAAAACGACTGTAGTTAACTGAAGGCATTAGGCATCT